GCCCCCGATTGCAATTGTAATTGTAAAAGAGTCACTGGACTGTTCTAGTGGCTTTCTGTAAAAAGCCTACCCTTGGCTTGATTTGATTTTTTTTTTTCTTCAGTGAGATGTCCTAGAAGAAATAATGCAGTTGTAACCACCACTATAGCTATACAATATGTTGTACTGTTTTTATTCAAAGGCAGTTTCACTGAGGGTTTGGAATGACATGGTAGACTGGGCTCTCTTAAGCAATTTCTACTGAGAAAGCAGAAAACTGTTACATGTCACTATTCTGGAATTAAAATGAAAACTTTGGCCTATACTAGGTGAAAGGCAAGCTTGCATGCAGGCTGATGTGGTGACTTAGATTTATACTTGTTTAAACAAGAAACGATATCATCTGGAAGGACGAGCAGGGTTTTAGTAGCGCTGTGTGAAATTTGTTTATAGTTCCAGGGTGTTGCGTTTGAAAAGCAGGAATCTTTCAGAGACTAACAAGAATAAGATTGCTAGTGAGAGTACTTTCTATAAAGTGTTTTCTCCTATCATTTACACAAACACATTTAATTGTTTTGATACAGCTACTTTATTAAAGAAAAATGGTTTCCTTACAGGCTGCTTTTCCTTGAGCGTTAGATTTTCACTTGCAGAAATATAATGCCACTGTGTATTTCCTCTGTCTTCAAAGTCAAAATTCTTCTGCCTTGCTGGCAGCTTTATTTTTTTTTTTTTTTTAAAGCTGATTTTCCTGAGAGAGCACTACAGATTACATCAAGATGCGGACAGGGCAACCATAAGCCTTCTAGATGTTGCTGCCTTGGCCCATTTCATATGCATCTATCAAACCACTTTCATAGAGGGGGTTTGCTGAGCTGCTCCTCCAAGTTTGAAATTAAAGGGTCCTTCCTATGACTTCCAAGAAAAACGTTGGTTTTTTCCACTTTCTCAGTTTTTCAACTGAGAAGAAGGAAAAAAGTTTTGTTTAAATGCCCATTTAACTGCATAGAAGTGTTAGTCAACAAGTTAGATATTCTGCCCCATTTGGAAAAGAAACTGAACTGCTTACACACATCCATTTCCATGGAGAGGAAGGGCACCAAGTGTCTTTTTTACCTTGCGTTTGGAGCCTGATTATGTATTGCATGTGATGGCTTTGCCTTGGTTCCCGACCAGTCTCTGGAAGCTACCTTGCCTGCAGCCTTCCGTCACTTCTCCGTAGGCATTGACTGGAGCACATATCCTGTTTATGTAGAGCAGTGTCACACACGCATTGTGCTCTGGTGACATCCGTGTCCATCTGTTTTGGGAAGGCTTCCGGTGTTCCTTAACATTTCATCCCATTCAGTCAGGGACTCCTTCCATTATGCTTTATCAAGAACGTGTTGTGCAAATATTTAAGACTGTTGTTGCATGTAGTTAAGTTATTAGGTGTTACTGCTGGATTACCAGCGTGTTTGATCTGTTTTATCAGATGGAATTATTTATGATTTAAATTATTTTTTATTACTTTTTCATGTTTTAAAGACTGAGCTTAATTATAATTTAAAGCAGAATTTGATTTCAAATTTTGTTGTTAATTGTTTTCTGTTGAATAAGACCCCAAAAAGATTTATTGACTAGTAAAATCATTACAGTATGCTAATTTTAAGTATGATTTTTCTGCTGTATTTGGTGCATTGTTAAGTCGTCAAAAAGCATAATACATGTATTTATGCATATCTAGCATTTAATTTCTACTATTAGGAAGGGTAACATCATCCATGATTTTTCAAGCTAGAAATTTTGGCTTAAATACTTTAAGTTGTTAAATTAGAGCACTGCTGCTTAGTTTACATGTTTCAAAAACTGGAAAAGCACTAATGTTTAGACAACAAGAAGTGTATCATTATTCTCTCTCCTCAAAAAAAAAAAAAAGAGAGAGAGAAACCCATGAACATAAGATATGTCATTTTTTGAAAAGTTTGGATTTAAAAATCAGCCAAAACTGGTGTTTTTGTAAAAAATCTGATGAAGTTATTTAAGTTCTTACTCATTGCTATTGAGTCATCATGCTTTGTTTTAATGCCTACAGAAAATCTAGATATGAGCAGGGATTGTCACAAGTGTTATTTTGAAGAGACTGACTTTTAAAAAGCATGTTCTGTAGTTCTTGTGTTAACGTTTTAAATTACTATATTTTAAAATCTGCACTGCTGATTCTGAAGGAAGGTTATTTAACACTATTGACTACTAGAGTTTTGCTGGGTTCTGCTTAATTAATTATTAGTGATCACTTGCTGAATATGTAATTCTTTTCCCTTGTCAACTAAAGTGATATATTTACGGACTAAGTAATCTTTTTATTCAAGGTAATTAAAAAAAAAAAAAAAGAAAGCCTTATTCTAAAGTATTTCAGCAGCTTTAAAACAAGCTCTTAATTTTAGATTAGTGAAGACCTGAAAAATGAATTGGCAAATGACCTGTGTGCGTCAACCCCTGGCTTCAGTGTGACTAAAGTAAAAGAACTAATGTTCTATAAGGTAAGTAGAAATCACAAAGTTCCACAGACTTGCATTCATTCTCTTTCAGTTAAACTTGAGAGTTACTAATTTTAAGTTATACTGTTGCTAACAGTTAGTCTAAGTATCTAAATTAACAGACTATTGAGAGTTACTCTTCTTCATGTAGGTAGAAGGGTAGAGAGAGGGAGTGGGAGAATGAAGGGAGCTTTAAACTACCATGAATGTCTTCTGCCATCCCCTGTCTTTTTCCACAAAAATAATCTTAAGTTTTAACATTTCCCAGACAAATGACTTAACTTGCCTGGCTGACAGGCTGTTCGGGATGGAGACACTCTCAAACATCTGTGCCTGAAACTAGATTTGGTCTGATTGTGTAGTCTGAAATTCTTTTTGCGAGAGAGCGAAGGGAGAGAAGTATGTAATGTAGCCCACTGATTCTTCTTTGGAGCAAAGTTGCTTGGCTTCCAGATCCGCTTCCAAGACCTTTTATATGTAGCTTACATGAATCAAATATTTCAAGATGTCTGAAACAGAAGGCCAACAGAAGTCCATTTTCAAATAACAAAGCAATAAGTGATGCAAAGCTATGTAATTGTCCTAATAATCACAAACTTTAAAGTAGCTTATTTTGCCTAGTTGCATGACTTTCTGTAAGTAAACAATGTTTTTCCACCAAAATAATGATCACCTATTCCAAAGTTAACATTTAATTTCCAAATATTTCCATTTTGCCTGGATAGAGCTCTGCTAAAAGACAGAGAATGACCTGAAGCTTTACTAGTCCATCTTGAATCTTAGGGTTGTAAACATTGTTAGTGAATTATTTTGCTGTTCCACATTATGAGTTTTTCTTCTTTCTTAGGTTGGACTTGCAGATGCTGTGGACCTGTTTAGAGCCAGAAAAGTGTTTATTAAAGATGGCTTTGCATATGTGCCACTTACGGAAATTGGGGCGATTGTTTTGAATAACTATAGAACAAAGTTATCCAAAGCACTGGCGGTAAGTCTGAGAAAGTCTGATTTTTTACAACTTTTGTTGCATTCTTTAGTGACACTCTTGGACAGCAGCTTTTTGGATTTTTAAATTTATCTGCTTCCATCTGGAGAATACCAGAAACCCTATCAAAAGTGCTGGCAGCACTAAAAAAATAGTTCATTATAAGATGAGAGTTCATTAATTTTAAATGGAATTTAGCATGTGATGTGCATTATAAAGAAATTTCTGCTAGAGGATTTTAAAATTGTTTTGCACATAGAGAGTAACATGACTTTTCATTCAAAATGTTAGTCCCATACACACAACTGTTTTTTAGTCTTTGTATCAATCTTTTCTCCCACAAGATTTCACAACAGTTTTTTGTTGAAACAAATAAAATAGTGATTTGTGTGTTGTTGTTTGTTTTTTTTTTTTCTTTTGTTAGTGAGAACTGAAATGAAGATAAGTCAGAACATGTCAGGCAAAAGTAAAGTCTTCGTTATATGAATGTCTGAGGTATCAAATCTAGTTAGGACACCTATGGTAAATGCTATACGTGAATGTTCTTCTGTTAGTAATTCGGTAATCAATTTAGGAACTGCTAGTTTTTAATATTAGACTCTTTGCAGGCTTTAAAAGTTGGTGATCATGTATAATGCACAGAATTTTAGGCCCAGAACATACGACATTGAATAACATGAAGGCAGTTTGGATTGCTTTTTAAAAATGTTTTGAAGCCATATATTGCTATGTCACCTTAATATCAAGGCTGACCATGAGTGTTTAGTAAACAAACAGTGTAAAGTAAAAATGCATTCCTTGAAGAAGCTGCCAGTATGCTAATTTTCTAATTTTTAAATTTTGAATATAACTGGAGTCTGAAATTGTTTAATGTGCAGTGAAAATTGTGATACTCATGTGGACATTTCCATTGGATCTCTTTAATACAACTGCAACTAGAGACCTCCTTATTTCAGTTGATGCATAATGTTCTTGCCGAAAGCTGGTAACACTTGTGTGGGATTTAAAAACAATGAATGCATTCTAGAGAAATGTGGCTAAGTACGCAGGTTATCTGCATCTATTTAAAATGCTTTTGAGACGCTTCATGGACTTCTGGAATTTGCCTGTGTGAGTAGCTGAGGAGAGGTCTGCAAAACAGTAGGAACTGTAATGAGTAGGCTACCTGACTTTTCAGTTTGAGGAAAAATCTGCAGCAAACACATGCTATAGTGTATATAATTCATTTAACACAGATTACTTTGTTAAAGCCAATAGCTGCTTTATAGTAAAGAAATACTTATTTATGTTATCCTCTGTAATCATAGTTTAGAAATTTTAACACTATCATGAGCTTGGAAAACCATCTTCTCCAGAACTGCTATGTTTTAAGTTACTGCAGTGTTTCAGGTTTGCATTAGTTTTTAGTTCTAATACATATGTTTTCAGAGTAAGGAATAAAAGAAGATTAGTGATTTTTGTCCTGTTCCAAAGCTCCTGATTGAAGTTGTGGGGTTTTGATCTGAGGATGATGTGGATGGGATGGAATACCTCGTTGGTCAGTTTTTGGTCACCTGTCACATCCGCACTCTTCCGCAGGTGTGACTGTTTTATGACTTCTTACTTGCTTAACAGAAGAGGGCCAGCAGTGTCCTTGGTTCTCATAGGGATAAGTATAAACGTGGGCCTTTCTGCATAGCAATCCTACTGATACTTCAGCAGCAACTATAAACATCAAGGGTTACCAAGTCTGAAAAGCAGACAGTGTCTGAAAAACATGCAACTGTACTTTCAGAAAGTGCAGTTACTTAGAAGAAACTGAACTGTAAGAAAAAACTCCTGAAAGGAGAAAGAATGCTGTTTTAGCCAAACCAGGACAATTAGCAGTTGTCAGACTTGTTTGAGCAGGAGTTTGCGTTGGACAGCAGTTTGCCTCCACAGTTCCTGCCCTGTGTGGTTAACTGCAACGGGCGTAGAGGTGCAGAATGTCTCCCACCTGCTGAAAGTGTTGCAGCCTTCAGTGTGAGCTTCCCTCTAATTTCTGAAGATATGTTTAGGTTTTTTGAACTACTTTTCTCGTAGTACCATTTAGTACTCTGTGTCTGATTCAAATACTCTTCCTGTGTGATTGATCAGAAAATCCTTTATATAGACGTTATGGTTTTAGGTTGAGTACGTAAAATGCTCTTTTTATTATTAAAATAACACTAGTAGTCTTGACTAAATCTGTGTTCTGGGCGCAGGTGCCCAGGTGCTGGCAGGGGCGGCCTCTGTGAGGAGAGGCTGGGGCTGCCCTGTGCCGGACACAGCTGGTTCCAGCCAGCTCCAACCGACCCCCGCAGGGCATGGCCCAGCCCTACAGCTAAGGTGGTGGCACCTTGGGGGAAATATATTTAAAAAAGGGCGAAACACCTGACGGAGACAGGAGGAGGAAACCGAAACGAGTGAGAAGCAGCAGAGGGAACAATAAGATCAGGGGAGCAGTTCCATGATGCTGGAGCAGGTGTTCATGGCACCGGTGAGGACCCCATGCCGGAGCAGGTGGATAGTTCCTGAAGGAACTGTAGCCTGTGGAGAGCCCAGGCAGAAACACATTCTGCCCCGCCGCCCCCCTGCCCCCTGAAGGACTGCAAGCAACAGGAGAGAGCTCATGCCAGAGCAATGGAAATATGTCTGCAGGCAGGAACTGCAGAGGGGAGCTGTTAGGGACCAACCATAGCTGCCCTTGCCCTTACCCACTGCCCCAGTGCTGCTCAGGTGGGAGGTGGGGGAGTCTGGAGTGAAGGAGCAAAGTTTGTTATTCACACTTAAGATTGGTTGTAAGTTTCTCGCTTTTAATGTAAATTAGTACGCATCCTCAGTAAGTACTAATGAAGTCTCTCTATTAACTACGCATGCTCCCCAAGCAGGGTTTTGCCCTCTTTCGAGGGGGTCATTTGAGTTGGAGGTTGTGATCTCCCACTACTACAATTACCTCTGTCCTGTTTTCAGTTACTTTATTGTTTATGTCTGTGGGTTGTAACGTGTTATCAACTTGGTTCCCTTCATGTCTAGGACTTCCTCTCTCAGAGGCCTCTCTCCACATTCTTACCTACTGACTTAGATAACAGTGTCTCTTCTTCTATCGTTTGTTCTTTTTCTTGATGTTTCCCAACCTTGAGATGCCAGGCTAAACAATGTGCCTGTTTTTCTGTTAATTTAGCTGAATTCTTTAACCCTTTGGTATCATTTGGCTTGGCAGAGAGGGGAGGAAAGGCATTGTTTTAATGTTTGCCTCTGTTTCTTGCTACCTGAGTCTGGTTTAGCTGTCAGTAAATTACATTAATTTTCCCCAGGTCAAGTCTGTTTTGCTTGCAGTGGTAATTGGTAAACAATCTCCCTGTCTTTATCCACAGCTGGGTGGGAGTTTGACCCTTAGATTGTGGTGGCATAACCTTGTCCTTTTCATTTTTGGTCTTGAGGCTTGGATCTGCTGAGGTTGGATACTGGAGGAAAGGAGGTTCAGCACTCTGGTTCTGACTCATGCAGTCGTGTTAGCTTCTGTGTTTCCTGGGCTCCTCCTCTGAAATAGCTCTTGAATAAATTATGGAGGTGGAGATAATAGATACTGAAAAACCTGACTCTTGACTGGGATGCTTCCATTAGTGTTTGCATCAACTAGATTGAATCATTACATCATTCTTATCTTAGGGAATGTTATGGTTCGGAAAAGTTCTAGTGCTTGTTGAACATTAGATTTTAAAGCTATAAACAAATGGTTGAAAATGTGTAAATATTTGTGTGTAGCATGAGTGCTTTTATTGTGAGTTTGAAGATTTTATTTTACAGAGACTTATAATTATTGATGATAGTATAACTGAACTTTCCATTCATAGTCTAATGGCATTTTTTCAGTAGATTTGTCATACTTGTATTTAAATCCAGCCCCTTTTTCCTCCATCTTGAGCCTAGCAGTTGAAGTAATAACTTGGCTGGCCTATGAATTATAACTCTACTGCAAAAAGTTGTTTTTGTGAAAATACTTTGTCAGAACATCATATAGGATCTAACCATCTGCAAATTAAACTATTAACTGAAAATAACACAAAATAGTACCATAAGAAATCAAGATTCCAGTGTTAATATGTACAATCTTGATAGCGTGTGTTTCTTCTTAATTTAATGCCTACACTTTTTTACTTTGCAGTATCATCTTGTATAATCTGATAAAATCTCTACAAATCAAATTATTGGATTTTGAGGACTTAGCACAAAAAGAAGACCTCACTGGTGTTTTCTAATTTTTATGTATTTTTTTTTTATTGCTTTCTCTGTTTGGGATCTAATCTTCAAAATTGTTAGAAATATGGATCAAGTAAGTTGCTTCCAGCTTTACTAATATTTGTAATGATTTGTCTTTTAAAATTAGGTATTAGTCAAATACACTATTTTGGTTGATTCATGCTATATGTTCAAAAACCCTCCCAATTTGGGAAAAGTATCAGTATACATAACACCACCTGCAAAACATTTTCTTCTGAAAACACCTATGTTTTCAAGCAGTGATGCAGAAGGCTTTATATATTGGCATTAATGTTGAGAAAGTATGATTGATGGTGGTCTTGTCACTTGAAATTCATTTCAGGTGTTGTGTTCCCAGTGTTAACTTAAAGTAATTCACTGTAACATAAATGGATGATTTTTATAATATGCACATACAAGGTTAGTAAGGTAATAACTGGCAGTGCAGGGTAAAATGTGATTACAGTGACTTTGTCCTCTGAATCTCTCAAATGGAAGTTTACTGTGAGAGTTTTGCAAAGAAGCAGCTGCGCTTTGTTACTGAGTAGAATAACATTGTAAGGTCATTATCTAAGGTATGGATCTACTGAATAAAATGGTGATATTTTCAGTGGGAGAAGGGAAATCAAGGGAAGTGACTTCGAATGTGTATTTGTGTGTCAGAGAGGTCTCAAGCCTGCATGCGGAATGGTTACCTGCAAGACAGGGAAACTTGTTGGACTTTTCTTTGTGGACCTTCTTTT